GCTGACAGTTGTGCCTCCAGATGCTGAATGAGCTCCTCGGGGGACTCGTTCGCGTCCTCGGCAATGTCCGTGGGCACAGGGATCTCGGCAGCCTTTCTCGTGAGACGTTCTGGTGTGCCCCTGCTCACCTTGGACCATGAGGTCTCGGATGAACTCCCCCCCGACGGCGGTGGTACCACAGCGAGGGCTTCGGGATCTCGTCCCAAATCTGGCTTCTTCACATAGCCCTTCGTGGCATTCTTCCGGACCGCCTCCTGCCCGGCCCATGACGCCAAGCGCACCAGATCTTCGTGGGCATTGGGATTGCTCTTGCTCTCTCGCACTGCCCAATCCAGGTAGCCGCCAAATGGCACCACTGTTGTTCCCGGTGTGTGGCGGGACTCGCGCAGCAAGCGCATCATCAGGCCCCTCGTCGGCTTGGCCGGGATGGTGATGTTCTCCTTCTTGGCAGCCTCCACCAGCTGCTCCTTCATGCGGTCCTCCTCGTTGGGCTTCTCCAGCTCTCGCTGCTCCACCAAGATGGACCTCAATTCCGGCACGGTCCATGTCGAGTGCACGGGGACCCCGCGGTCGTTGAGCTCGATCAACAGCTCCTGCTTCTTCATGTTCCATGGCGATGGGACTTGAGCGGGCATCCGAGGTCGGGGCAGCGATCGTCAGGCGCGTCACGTGCGGCTTGAACTTGCTGAAGCGGCTGCGACCAATCCAAGGGCAAATCATGAACTTCTCTTCACTCTCAAAAGATTCTTCTACCTTGGTGATCACCTCCGTGCCTTCTGACAAACATGGTAAAGCTTCCGTTGTACGATGTCCATCAAGCCTTTTCAAGAAAACATCTTTCAAACCAAGCAAACGTGTATTCCACGATGTGGGGTTGAACAAGGTGCGACGAGGAACGACATGGATGCGAATATACTCCATTTCAGTCTCAATCCAAAAATCTCTTGATTGCTTGGCCGTGCGCCGCCAACAAAAGAAGCCAGCCCCTCCCAGAGGTTGATGTGCGCTCAACATGTTCTCGATCTCTTTGGGAAGGACTTTGGGATAAAACAGGGGTTGCAAAGCGGACGACTGCGCAGCCATGTATGCCTCGATGTCGGGCACGTACACTTCTCCGGTGTTGTCACCGGTCACCAAAGGAGGCTTTTTGCCGTCATAATCATTCACCAGCAAGGCAGGATGCCCCGTAGGGCTGGTGTACAAAGCTATGTTCTCAAGGTGCAACGCTCGGAGGTTCACCTCCTGCTTTTCCAAATCATAGGTCATGCCCAGCGCTCCGAGCACCGGCCTGCTCAGCAATAGCGGCGCTGCACATGGGACAATGGCCACTTCGACCAAAAACCATTGTCTACAAACGGAAAACCAAGCGAGCACCCCAAACGTGGAAGTGTACACACGGGATGCTCCAAACTTGAAAAATTCTTCGTGGTCGTAGGTGGTGGTAGCAAACCCTAAGGTGTCGGCCATGTCGCAGCAGGCCTCAAACCAACTGTGCCCCGCCACCGTCTTGGTGCAAGCAGTATCCACGATGGCCAGGAGGTTGCCCTTCACAAAGTCGGGAACCATGGTCTCCTGGCTGTCCGTGACATAGCACTCGTGAACCACGCTGCACATCTGGGCGGAATGCACCGTCATCTGGACATCGTTCGACTTGTCGCGATCACCACCAGACCCACTTGATCGCCCGCGAAGGGGGCACTCAGGGTCCTTGCGCCAATGGCCTTTTCGTTTGCAGGCCGAACAGTACGAGCGTTGTTTGGCCAACTTGAGTCGCTCTTCAGAGCGTTTGCGGATCTCCTCCATGTCAGCTCCACGGCCACGGACAGTCTCCCGGTATTTGGCCTTGGCGTTCTGGTAGGTCATGTATGCGCTGTGTGCAGCGGCCGCCACATCTTCAGCCACTAGCTCATCTTCTTCAGCAGCTTGAGAGTCTCCCTCGCTCGACTCGTCCACTGCCTCAGTCATGTGCACGGAGTGGCGCTGCCACTTGTCAGGCCTCTTCCAGCTGTTGCCCCCGAAGTTGCCACCACCAGGCCGTCTAGTTGAACGGTCTTGGATCAATGCAGCCTGCTGCAACTTCTTCACATCGAACTGGTTGTTCACGCTGGAGAGGAGGGAAAGCTCTTCTTGCTCCGGCAGGTGCAACTTGTCCAAGTACAACCATGCCTTGATGAGAGGCGGAAGTTCACACTGCACCTCATGGAGGCGGAGTACGAGTCGCTCGAACTCCACGTTGAACTCACGCACTGACTGCTCCGGTTTCCTCTTGCATTGCTTGAAGAGGTCGGTCATCATGGAGGAAACCTTCGTGACTTCCACCTCCATGAAACGGGTTTGAACCCACTCCAAGAAGTAGGAGACACCATTCTCGGTGGCAAGGATGTCCACATCCAACTCCTCAGCATAGACCCAGGCTTTTCCGCTGAGCTCGTTGTATAGGGCCAGGGCTCTTTGGTCGGGAGACATTTTGGTGCACCTCAGCCAAACCTGCACTTTTCTCACATACGACCTAGCCGTACAGCCTCCGAGGCACACTCCCCATCGAAGCCGGGCACCACTAGCTTCTCAGTCGCCTTCCCCCGACCACCACGAGGATCATCCCAGTCAGGATCAGCCCATCGCCCCCCAGCGCCGGTCGGCTCGATGTCGTGTGAACCAGACCAGCGACCATTGATGACAGGAGTAGTCCTATCTACTCTAGCCGTGTTGAACTGTCTCATTTGGTGGTCGGTCAACCAACCATCAGTTGAACCACTCCAAGGATCACCTCCATCATCCCACGGATCGCTCGGTCGTCCCGGGCCCTCCCAGTCCGTGTCATTCCACTCCCATCTCGTGTGAGACGGAGTGGACCAAGCAGCAGGCCGAGCGTCACTCCCCTCGATGGTGGCGTCCTGCATCCTCAAAAGCGGCGTGGGCCGCCATGCTGGCCTCCAACCTGAAGCCATCCCCAAAGGCCTCTAAAAACGAAACCAGACAGCTCCGCAGCACCAATGTAAGAGGCCCTCAACAGAGGGCATGCAAACCGACGCGCATGGCTCTATTTTCCATCTACATTGCTAGACCCTTGTGCCTGTAAAGTTGGCGGTCAAGGGTGGCATGTCATGCCAGGCGAACGTGTCGGAACCAAAAGGTGTGCTTTTACAGTAATATCCTACCCCCTTAAGCTACTGCCGGGAGGGGGGGCCTCAAAAAAGTAAGTTACATTTTAGGGTACCCCCTTAGTTGGCAGATCGAAGGGATGTGTGGGGGATATGGGGGACTGTGGCAAGTATGAGCTCTGCAAGTCAGCTTTTGGAAGCACTTTTTCGGAGATGCAAAACCTCTTTCATGGCGCGGCCATATCCCAAAGTGAATGCCAACTCACACGCAAGCTCATTTCCCAAGAACTGCGATGAATTTGGTCTCTTCTCGCATGACCGGTTGATCTTGAGCATGATGCTTTTGAAGCGTCCACCACGGCCCCTCCCTGTCGGCGCAAGCCGCCACCAATGACGCCAAGCGGAAATCCTAATGATATACACACACAAACTGATGCCTCAGCGCCAAGGAAAACATAGCAAAAATCCAGGACCAAGACACAGGCAAAAGGTGAGATTTGCAGACGCCAAAGTTGTAGCTTGCAATTAGTCCACGCATCCAAACCCTCAAATTTTACAGGGAATACATGGGTTATGTGAGAAAGATTGTGTGAGAAAGTTTGACCTCACAAATTGTAACTTACATGTTTGCGACATGCCCAACTCCCCAGAATTTACAAGGATCTGGGGTGCCCCCCTGAGTTACTTACATTTTAGCATACTGAAAATCACACACGTCCGACGCCACGAAGCACAAGCAGGGGGGCAAGATGGGATCAAACAGCATTGAATATCCTTGTTCTCCTGCGCAATAGAACAGGCAGCCTCTCCTTTATTGTTCTCCATCATTGTTTATTGTGTATGGAATGTGATCCTCTGTTATGTTTGGGTTTCGCTTTGTTGCCTTCCTTTGCGGGGTTCATTGGGAACATGTATGTTCCTGTTTCTTGGCAGTTTGCTCTGGGCGTGTTTCCTGTTCTTCTTTGTTGATGATGACTGCTGTTCCCTCATCTGCTCTTTCTAGCAAGGAACAAGTAGCCAGGGCAAAAACATAGCAGAATTGAGTGTGTCTGACAGCAAGATTCAGGGGGGGATGGGGGGGGTCCCAAAATGTAAGCGAAATGTAACTTACATTTTTGAGGTCATTCCCCGGGAAATCACCCATGAGACCTCAAACATGTAAGTTACCTTTTTTGAGGCCACCTCAAAGTTAATGTATATAATTACATTGTTTGAGGCCCTCCGCATATGAAAATGTAACTTACAATTTTCGACCTCCCCCCTCAGGAAAGGGTAGTGATGATTTAATCCATTTTCGTTCGTTCACTTTGGAGGGGTGTGTTGGACTTTCATCCTTTATTACACACAATGACACTGAAAGTGGTCAGTTTCCTGTACCTGCACATTGTTGGAACTGGTGAACGAACTCGTTGCGCAGAAGTTTCCTCCGAGATGGCACAGTGGCCAAGCCACAAAATCAACATTGACCTTCCCTACGGACCTTTTTATTTCATTGGTCTACCCAGGCGCCCTTTTCACTCTCTGACCGTACGCGCTCTCATCTCGAGTATGTCTGAGTATGCGCTCGCCCTTGGGCGCGCGCTCGCGTGTGTTGATCACATAAGTGAGCTTTCGCGTGGGTACTCTCACGCGTCTGCTCTCACATACGCGCGCTCTTCTATGTCAGCCTTACATGAATGCTCTTACACGCGCGCTCCTGTGTGCGCTGTCATGTTTAGGATGTTTATCCTCTCTCGCGCGTGGTCTCTACTCTAACAAAAGAGGGGTGTTATCCACATAAAGAGACAAGTTCGTGTTGGGGTTCGCTTGCCCTTGCCTGTAGCGTGGCGCTAATGTTTTTGTATGGCGTCATCATCAAGGAACAATTCAAGTCCTTGGTGAAGCATTTTGCATGTGCAGGTATTCGGTGTTCGCACGGCATTGTGGATTGGGATATGCGCTCTACACTTCCACTGCGCATGAGCGTGAAGCACCAGTGCTTGGAGCTGCCAGAGCAGACCTGCAGCTGTTGAAGAGAGTGCATCATGACTCAACGTGACCGAAGCCTCTACCTGCAACCGATTGACGAAACTGACTTGAATGCGCTCCGACGCTAGACACAGTGACACTCGCTGGTGGAGGAGCAAAAGGTTGACAGCCAACAGAACTGCGATGATTGTCAGGGTCGTGTAGCTCATGAATTGTTGCGCACGCTCTTTCTCCATAGCTTTACTTTATTTGTCGCACGCGCCCTTTTCTACCAATTTGCTTCTTCATCAAAACTGCTTGCTTTGCAGCGCTTTGTAGTCAGACCCGCTATGCGCCATCCATGGGCTGCACCTCCAGCAAAAAGACTGCGAGGCAGGAGATGAGAGATGAAGAGAGTGAGAGTTTTGACGGTGTGCAGTTTAAGGGAGAAGGGGCTGCAGACCTTGGAACCTCGTAGAAAGGCCTGATGTGGATGTTTATCCCATGGTGGGCAGCCGCTACTTGGTGACGAAACCCGCACGGTTGATGGAGTCTCCAGTGCCAGACTCGGAGATATCGGCTACAATCCAACCACAGGCACGGTGACGAACTGTGCCTGCTAAACGCTTCCATACAGCACGCCGCAGACGCTCACCCTTTGGCAGGGCGTTGACTTGTGAGGCCAAAGTGCTTGTTTTGGACACGGAGACGTCCGCAGGCATGGTTGGGGTGGAACAGAGGGGTCCAGGAAAGCGCGCGCCACCAAAACAACCACAGTGACAGATGCGCCTTCTATTCACTACTGAATTTGCTCTGCCGCCTCGCCAATTGAAATTGTTCAAATGTGTTATTTTCTTGTTGTTTGCATTGGTTTGTTGTTTCGGAATAGTTCGTGAATGGCGCCTGTTTAACTTTGGGAAAGTCTTGTATGACGTGCTTTGTTTTTGTCAAAGTCATGTAAGGCATTTGATTCACCCATGTTCGTGTTGCCGTGGTTCACAGGCTCTAAGAGCCATATCTTTAGGGGACGCATGCTGGCTTGAACGTGGCGTGTCGCTGGGTAGCGAGATGATCGGCGGTGTTCAGCAGGCTTGGCATTACATTGTTTCGCCTAGGCTATGGCACCGTACGGCGTCTGGTTTTGCGCGGCCTATTGGAAAGTGCGTTTGCGCGAGTCCGTGCCATTGCGAAAGCGAAACACGCTGGCGTAAACACGGCGTGTTGTGGGGGAGCGGGATGATTGGCCTGTGCAGTGTGGCGTGGTTGCGTCTGTGATGTCGCTGTTTTGCGCGGCCTCAATTGCACGCCCGTCTGTGTGATACCATACCATCACGTTGGCCTAAACGCGGCGTGTCGCTGGCAATGGCGAGCGTGGCGCACCGCGCGAGGCTTGGGCCACTTCAGCCGCTTCTCGCGGCGGAAGTGGCCCAGGCAAACGTTCAACAGAAGGTTGAAGTGGTTAATGTGGCCGATGTGGCCAGGGAAGTTGACAGAGGGCTTGGAAAGAAGAGACTCGATATTCGATAGGTGTCAACAGAAGCGCGCGCGACAGGAAGGTTGAGAGGCCTCTCCAATTCAATATGTTTAGAAAAGAGCGTGACGTAGTGGCGGCCACGTGGGCACTACTTGAGGCTGGCCACTCCCGCGGCCATACAAAAATATACTGTACCCGGGTGGCACGTGCCCTGTTGTCTGGTCTCCGTGGCAGCGCCGTGCGGTTTTGCGCGGCCTCGGTGGAAGGCGCGTCTGTGTGAAGCCATGCCATTGAAACACACTGGCATGAGTGCAGCGTGTCGCCGGGGGGGGTGATGGGCGGCGCTACATTTGTTACATTGTTGTATCTAGTCTGTGGCACACCGTGTGGCGAAATTGCGTCGCGGTTAGTGCATTTGTGTGAGCCCACGCCATGGGGCCAGGGAAAGATGCTGGCGTAAACGCGGCGTCGCGGGCGTTGCGGGGGGAGGGATGATTGGCGACGCCCATGAGGCTTCGTGTTTCTTGAATCTAGTCAAGCCTATGGCAGCACACTGCACGGTGAAATCCCCATGCGGTTTCGTGGGGCCTCGGTAGAAAGCGCGTTTGCGTGAGTCCGTGCCACAGGGGAAGGGAAACATGCCGGCGTAAGCGCGGCGTGTTGCTGGGGAGCAGGATGATTGGCGGCGTCCACGAGGCCTCGAGGCTTGGCGTAAAACATTCTATGGCACACTGCGCGGCGATAATGTGTCTGCGATGGTCTTGCGCGGCCTCGGTGGACAGCGCTTGCGTGGGTCCGTGCCATGGGGAAGGGAAACATGTTGGTAAACACGATGCGTCGTTGGAGAACGGGATGGTTGGCGCTTCAACAAGGCTTGGTAGTAGACACCGGTGTAACACCTGTGGGTGGTACGACAACGAGGATTAGACGTGTGATTCACGGGCTTTGTGAGGCAAACCACGACATATTGACCAAGCCTGCATTCGGGCCAATCATTTCCACTGGTGCAACGCACGGGTAAAAAAACAAAACATGTAGGCAGGAGGTCTTCAGACACAGTGGTTAAGAAGTCGAGCGCTTTGGCGCAGGTTTTTGCCATGTGCTAGCGGAATCGCTAGGGAAGGCAGGCTGGCTTGCGCCTTGGATCTGACAGATGCAAGTTTGGACGTTGAACAGAGCGCTCACATTTGGACGCGGGCACCTGGTTAGTTGACAACTTCGTTTTGTAACCCAGGCAAAGCCAATTCCAGTCTCCTTGCGGCCACAGCCTCAGTGGAAGCTGGCATTGCATTCATTGCGTTCCCAATTAGCAGGATAGTTTTGCGATTTTATTCTTATTCCATGACGTCAGAGTTTAGCCAGCTGCCGCAAAACATCGAAAAACCTTTCCGCATGTCGCTATACCATGACGCAAGCTAGCACGAACCATTGCGAAAGTAGCTTCAGCTAAGCGCGAGACATTGCGAATGGTAGTTGCACACATCGCAAGCAGTAGCTACTGGTAAAACCTTCGCGAAAGGTAGCCTCGGAGATCACGAAAGGTGGTATTCAGCCATGGGCAACAAAACCTTCAAGGCTTCAAGCAAGGGAGTTTGCAAAGATAATTTCAAGCAAGAGCCAGAAAGGGAGAGGGAGAGAGAGAGAGTTTGTTTGGTTTAGCGAACAGGATAGTTTCAGACGTTACAAGTCAAGTCACTATTTGTTTGCTTTCTTTCAGCGCGCCTGGAGGTCACAAGTGATTCAGTCAGTGTTGCCATTTTAGGTTCACTGCTTGCCAAAAGCTAAAGCGGGGAATGAAAGGAATTCCGTCGCGTTTGAGCAAGGCGATTGAAGGGCTCCCGAGATGTGCCAGGAAGATACCGAGTCTTGGTGCCTGCAGCATTGCATTCCGCGCCATCAATGCGAAGTGAGGACCACGACTGGTCAGTTTCAATGCCTGGTAAAGCGCTAGAAATGTTGTGGGCTTTGTTAATCAAGTTTTACTTGTCCCAGCCCGCGGACAAAGTCGACTTCCGCAACTGCGCAGGATTCCGCAACTAGGATTCCGCAACTGTTTGGTCGGATTCCGCAACTGGGATTCCGCAACTGGGATTCCGAAACTAGGATTCCGCAACTAGGATTCCGCAACTAGAATTCCGCAACTAGGATTCCGCAACCAGGATTCCGAAACTAACTAGGATTCCGCAACTGTCAAGATTCCGCAACTAGGATTCCGCAACTAGGATTCTGCAACTGGGATTCCGCAACTGGCGTTCCGCAACTAGGATTCCGCAACGTTGTGGACTCCCTCACTAGGATTCCGCAACTTTGTGAATGACGAGGGACACGATGGGGACAAGGGGGGGGGGGGGGGGGTGGGGTGGGGGGCTTATGACGTTGGTTTGGATTCGATGTGCTTCGAAGGTGATGTCACAGGCACACACGCTATCGCGTGATGTGGAGATCACCAGTTGCAAGTTTCAGACGGCGAGTTGCAGAATCTGACTTTCCAGTTTCAGAATCCCAGTTTCAGAATCCTAGTTTCAGAACCCCAGTTTCAGAATCCTAGTTTCAGAACCCCAGTTTCAGAATACCAGTTTCAGAGTCCAAGTTTCAGAACCCTAGTAGTTTCCGAATCCGGCTCTAACCCCAGCCCCGCGTTCGGTTTCCCAGGAGGAAGTCCAGGTCGGGAAGAACATTGCAAAACCAATGATTGCAGAACAATACGAATGTTTGGGAGGCCTGATGAACCAAGTCTCAGCGGCCTCCCTGCAGGCGGAGAAGAATGACGAGGTTGAGCTCCTTGAACTTGGTGTCAGCGATGGCAGAGTCGTTGGACGAGTCAAGATTTGCGGCAACCCAGCAACGCGAAAGCCGCGTCTATGTTAGTTTTGCACGTTGTTAGGAGTATTTTCCACCGCCTGCTAGGTGATGGTTTTTAGATTTGGCGCTGCTCCTCCCTTCTTCCTTCGTCGAATTCCTTTTCCACACCGCGCCTGCCTATGCAGGGCGCGCGCGGACCTGTGCCAGAGAGAGCGCCAGCGCGCTCTCAGCGCGCGGTGGCGCGTACGGTCTGGGCGCGCATGGGCCGGCGCACCACAGGCTCAGTCTGGGCATGCGCGGGCCCACGCCAGAAGAATCGCCAGAAAGGACGTCAGAAGACAGGCCAGCGAGAAAATATGCCAGGCATAATGGCAGAAAGGATGTCAGAAGATACGCCGAATCAAAAGATATGCCAGATAGAAGGCCAAAAAGGATGTCAGAAGATACGGCAGGCAGGAGGACACGCTTAGGAGCAGCCAGGTGGTGTCAGAACCAAGTAATGGTCTGACGGACTGGCTGCTTCTTGGACCTTGCTGCCAGAGGCGAACAGGAAGTCTGGGGTATTGATGCTTTCCACAGACAGCGCAAAGTTTCCAGACGTGTCTCTTGCGAAGTAACATAGCTCATTGAAGTCTGTCGTGAGTCAGCGGCTGAATATTTTTCAGCGGTCGCGCCACAGCAGAGTTGAGCATTTTCCAAAGAAACGTAGTGGCAAGCCAGTGAGTATATAATGGAAACCAATGCGTCTAACCCAAGATATGTTGTATCAATGTCACATGGATGGCAGCGAGGAGAATAATGAAGGGTGCCAAAAGCATCGAAGGCCTCTTGCCGCCAACATCCCGAAACTGGATATACCAAAGCTCACAGCCTCTATGAACCAGATGCCGAAATGCCTGCAGAGGCGCGCGGCGAGCCGGAAACCATCAAAAACGTTTCATCCGCAGCAAGTTTTTTGCAACTGTAATGATCACCTGCCGTCTTCCAAGTCACCTCTCCAGGTGGGGGTCATTCGAAGTGAGTCAGTTAGTTCTTTAGCAGCCTGTAAGTCAGGGCTGAAGATGCTACATTGCTGTGCGCCGAGAAAAGTGGCAGGCAAAGCCGGGCTTGGCAGTGCCACCGGCTGGGTAGCTTTTGACGAGCCAAGTCCGCTTGACGCGGCAAACCTTCTGGGTCCAGAGGTGGCTGACCAGCCGCCGCTGTCAGCGACGGACACACCTCCATGGCAGGCACAGCGGCCCAGACTTCTTGCTTTGCACAAACGCGTTGCCGTGTGGAGTTCCAGCATGCTGCAGGTTTGCGTTGTGTGACAGGTTGGAGAAAAATATCGTATTTTAAAGACGCAGCCTCTTCAGAAACAGCCCGCATCGCAGAGCCGCTGTTGCAAATCGTTCTCTACCGGGCCCACGGCACTTCGACACTTTGGCAAAAATAGTGCCATTGCCCATGCGCAATGTTTGCATCAAGATGGTGAAGGAAGGAATGCACTGTTTTCATCAATAACAGTGGAGTGCAGCTAACAATCGCGATGCAATAGTTCAGCAACTCCGCAGAGCTGAAGTGAGTGATACCCAAGGCGGATCTTTGGTAGAAGTTCTCCGACTGCAGGAAACCAATGGTTTTTGGATGCAAGTGAGTCGGACCCTCAACAATTGTTCAATGTGTTTTTCTGCGTGTTTTTGCCGTTGCTGTGTGCTTTTGAGGCGTTTACGATGGCCCCAATCCTGGCAAAAGTGGCTGGATTCGGAGCCAGCTCAAGGATAGTTTGCTTGTCGATCGCAGAGAGCAATACAAGGTGCAATTGGGAGAAGATGTTGCGCCAGCTACACCAGGGAAGAGAGTCGTGAAGAGTCTTGACACGCTGGCTGCTTTTGAAGTTCCAGACCCAGCAGAGCCCGTCGATGACGTGGACACGCAAGAGGATTTTGCGGAAAGCAAACGATTATCATGCGGATACTGCGTTTGCCAGGTAGTGCCGCCCGAGAGGACCGCTGACCGACCAACCTTGTGTTTTCTTTGGGGATTTTGCTAGCAATAGGAACATAGCAACTTAGTAAGAAACGGGCGCTGGAGCTAGTGTGCTATCCAATCATTCAAGCCGTCTCCGCTGTTGCCATTGCAGTAGCAGTAGGGAGAGTTTATGCTGGCGAGCGCTGGATTTCAATTGGGCCGGCTCTCGCAAAAGTTCCTTTGATATTGTGTCAGGCGACAGGTGATTTGACGGTTGTACTGGAGGTGCGTTGTTGTATGTTTTCATTGCTGTGTTCATTTGCAAAGTTGGAGGACATTGCGGAAACAAACTAAAGATCTTTCGGTCAAAAGATACGTCGAAGAGGGCTGCTCTTCGCATGTGAGCTGGCTCAACAATGTGCCACTTGAACATGTTTCCAAGTGGACTCTGCCCGCCGAGACTCGTGCGAAGTCTTCCTTGAAGGTATTTGAAGATGTCTTTAATTGAGACTTCCTGGTAAACCTCGCACAACGTGGTTCTTGAAGTTGCCTCGATTCGACTGGGCATGTGCAAGCTCGCGCAAAGCCTTTGAAGGTTTCTCCTTGTCCTTTGTTCACGCCTTAGAGATCGCAAAGATGTCAGTCAGGGATCCCTGAAGCCAGTCCCTGCAGGCATGACTAGATGCTATCAGACTGCTTGTGGGTGTATTTGATGTGAACATGAAGACTTTGTACAGCCTGCTGTCTTCGGATTCCATCAGATTCCCGGTCGACGTCTTTCAAATATGAATACATTGAGCGCACAAGGGATTTGGCATCAAGATCGGGACAGGGTCTTTGTGTGATTGATATATTCACGAGTCCTTGAAGGGCCTCTTTGTGCTGTTGGCAATAGCCCTCGAATGTCAGTTCATTATGGTCCCTAGTTCCTCATGACGCACTTAGGAGCTTTGGAAGATTTGTTTGTTAGACCTCCGGAGATCAGATCTTGAAGGAGTGCTAGACAGTGGTAATGGGCACCTCAGTTCTATCAGATTCTGATGGGCCGCCACTTCCATTCGGAGGCGTGTGTCCCGACACCCTGATCCCACCACTCCTCTCACCCGTCGCAACTGAAATTGCTTTCGATCCGGTCCCACCCTGCGTTCGCATTGTTGGGCTTTGACCTGGCACAATTCTTATTGTGTGTGTTTGTTGAACTTTGTTGCTGCTACTTTTAGTTGTTGCATGTTGCATGACGTCCCTTCCAGGAACCATCCAGCAACTGTGCATCATCACAGCGCATTCGAACTACCAGCATCTCCGTCCAAGCGTTTGGAAGTGCTATCCCCTATGGAACTGCAGCAGTGGCTTCGGGGCATTTACCTGCGGTACAATCCGAGCTTGCTTCCCAAGGCAGGTGCCAAACTTGCTATTGTTGAATAACTTTCAGCGCAACAACCTTGCAGGTGCCAGAATTTGTGGAAAGCCACAAAGGGAAGGAGTCCTCACTTGTTGAAAGCGTGTGTCGCAAGTATAGAGTTTCACCACCCCGTGAATGGTACAAAACCCAGTGAACCACTTGCGGAAACATCGCAGCTGCGGTGGCTGAAATGGCTGCTCATCCAAAAGCGATTAATTATAAGCACTGTACTGTACTGGTGTTGGATCAACCGGGAAGGAATATGTACTAGAGCAAAGCGCAACTTTAGAGACATGGAGACCGATCTGCAAGATGCCAGTGAGACTCCCTTTGAGATGGGGCATGCAAGGCGTTATGAGTTTGTGAGCACCGAAAGATGGTATGAACCCAAGAGATGAGATGATTTGGTGAGCATATGAGATCAGTGATGTGATGTATAACATGAGTAATTGGTTTTGAAAGTCGTCGCCGGGCACTTCTTCTTATTGATCCTATTGCTGTGTGCAACATGCTGGAGACGGTGCCAAGACAGCTGAAAAAGCAATCAATGTTTGAGCCATTTCGGTCCAAGGAAGTTATGTTAGTCTGTGTCTTAATTATATGCCTTGATCTCATTTGAATCATGTACATTCTCACAGTAAACGTGTGTTGCAAAGATTAAGAGGCCTCATGTCTTTCGCCGACAATATCATCCTGTTGTCAGACAGCGCCAAAGCGACTGATTGGTGGGAGTACCCTCCTGGGACTCAATATGTGTGTAGTTATATACTTTGACAGTGATGGCTCTGATCGCGAGGATTGGGACGATGTTGTCTTCTTTGGACTGCAGTATTTTCTCAAGCGGTATTTGACAGGCTAAGTCATGACAAAGGAAAAGATCGAACAAGCAGCAAGCAGGAAAGATTTACGAAAAGCACTTTGGAAATGGAATTCACAAAGAGGGTTGGGAGTAGATTTTGGACAAACATGGTGTCCATCTACCTATCAAGATCAAGGAGCTTCCAGAAGGCCAGGTTGTGCCCACCAACACTGTACTGATGACTCTTGTGAACACTGACCCAAGGTGCTATTGGCTGACAAGTTTTATGGAGAGCTTGCTGACGCAAGTATGGTACTCCATTACAATGTGTACGGTCTCCCGAATGATAAAGCTGTGCATTCAGCGGGGTCACGAGGAGACAGGTTGTGAGAAGCTACCAATGGCGGTCCCAAATTTCGAGCTACATGACATTGGCTTCTAAAATGCGTCTTCCGTGGAGTCTGCTGCGCTCAATGCTTTGAACCATTTGGTAAACTTCACTGGCTCAGACAGCCCCATTGTCAACATGTTTGCTTCAGAGTTTTATGGAGCAACAGAGGCCACTGGCTACGCCAAGCCCAATGTCATTCCATCGACTATCATCACTTGGGGGCCTGAGGGTGAGCTGAATGCAATGCGCCACATTTTGGACCACCAGGGCAGTGTAAGCTGCTCAAGTGATTCCTTTGACACCATGACTACATGTAAGAAATATTGGGACCAAGCGCTGAGGGACAAGATCATAGACCGTTGCCATTTTGAGGAGGCCATCACTAACCAAGTTGAGATGGGGCCGCTTTATGTGCGACTCGAGAGGTGTGATCCAGATGAGATTGCTGGCGTACTCAAGATCCTCCTGGAAAAGTTTCCTGAAATGGTGTTTAGCACGGGTACTGGTCACAAGGTTCTTCCACCTTATGTCCGTGTGTGGGTGGCTGAGGGCGGTGACTATGACTACAAGTCCAATTCCCCCGGTGCTCCAGAGGTTAAAGGAGGAGGGGATCGCCACTGTCAACCTCCGCTTTGGAAGACGGAGTTCACAGCTGAAGGCTGATCGTGACACCTTCAAACTCAATTTCAAACGCTCTGAGCTGGTGGGCGGCGAGGCACGTGAGGTTGGAAGAGCAAAGAGGGGAAAACTCACATTGCAAAAGGCTGACAGCATAGACTTAGACAGCTCCAGTGGTTACCGTGCAAACAGTCTGGGTGATAACACAGGGTTCTTGCACTTTAGCAAAGATGGCAAATATGTGACAATTATCAGTGGCAGAGGCCATCCAGAGAAGGATTTGCTTGTTGATGTTGTTGAAAATGGCCAACTTCTCAAGGAATACACCTTCTCAGAAGTCTGACAGCGTGCAGAGGTGCCAAATGGCAAGTGGTGCGTCAATCTTCCCGAGTATTATAAGAAAGGCTGAAAAGGTAAAGCAGTAAAAGCGAAGTGTATAAAAGAGAGTTCATGCTGCTCACGCTGGGCCAATCTTTTGATTTTCCGCGTTTGCCTTTGTCCAAATTGTATGAATTGTAGACAGCATAGATTCGGGCCATTGGTGGCTAATCCTGCTCAAGCCAAGCAAGCACACTTTGTGTTTGTTCCTCATTTTTCTGAGCATCAGTGCATCAGGTTTTTTGCGTTTGATGAAGCCTGCTTTCTCACTGGGTGCACATGCGGCTGCGTATTGATTGTAAGGCAACTGAGTGTGATAATTGCTTCAGCTGCTTTGCTGTCTTTTGGACTCCAGAACTGGGCTGCCACGGAAGAGCCACTCTTCTTTTCTTCTTTAGATTCCAGTTTGCGCTACTCTATGTGGCATTTGGAGGTGAAGACATTTGTTCTCCAAAATGTATACCCCCTGTCACACAGCGGGGTTCGCATAAGGTTTTACATGGTTTTACCAAATTCACCTCCCATCTTCGCGGGTTTCTTAAAGGATGTTCGTTCCAGTTATGATGGAGGTGGTGTGTGGGAAGCGGATTGTTCATGCATGCGTTCATTGTGCGTGTGCTTGTACTTTTGTTTCGTAGTTTGTTGTGGATCTCTTGGGGTGATGTGGCATGGCCAAGATACGTTGTTCAAAGGTCCGAGACATGCTACTTGGCAGTCTGAGAACTGTGGCACATTGTGCTTTCCTGTATTGTGACCTTGCTGTCGTCATACCTTATTGTGAGATTAGAAGGCATGTCAGACCCATTTGAGCATGTTGAGCATGTGGACTCATCCGTGGCCATTTGATCTTGTCAGGGAGGGCTTCGTCGACGACTCGAGCCATGTGAGCGGAAAAGGTCCTTTCGAGCACTTCGGTTGTGCATTGTCGTTCACCTGTGGTTGGTGATAGCATTGGTTGTGTTGACATTGCTTGTTGACATTGGTTGGTTGAGGGCGCAGGCCCATAGCTTGTTGATTGGAGTTGCTACCAAGTTCATGGTAGCGGAGCCCCTTCCTGGGGGCTCCCGCCATGGTGCTTGACAAAGGAGCTGAGATCCCGACCTGGTCAGGAGACCCTGTTGAGTTTGAAGCATTCGCTACAGCATGCCGCTGGTATGAAAAGTCATTTAAGAGCTCAGAGAGGCAGCAAGCAGCAAGTCGGATTTGGGCGAGGTTGACTGGACCGGCACGTGCAGTGGTTCGGCACCTAGATCCCGATGACTATGAAGCTGATGATGGGCTATCACGCCTTGTTGATGTGTTGAGGAAATCTCCACTACAAGCATTGCCCATTGCAGACAGTTTCAAGCGGCTTGATGCATGGCACATGTTGAAGCGGTTGCCCGGTGAGTCAATCCCCAAGCTTCTAGTCAGAGAGGAGGACATGTTTGTGCAGTTACAATCTGCTCTGACTAGGGCTCGGGAAGACCGGGGTTTGTTGGCACCTCCCATGATTCAGGAAGTCACTGGAAGAGGACCACCTTCAACGCCTTCACAGAGTCCAATGGCTGGGATGCGGTTTGTTGAGCGTGAGCGCACTGATCCTGTGGTATCCTCACCTCAGGCTCAGCCCGCCTACATGCCCGATTTCTTCGAGGACGAGCTCAGGGGGTATCGCCTGTTGAAGGCGGCAAAGCTGACCAGTTCAGAGAAACAAAACATATTGACCCAAACGGGCAATAGCACCGGCTTCCTCCAGATTCGTCGAGCATTGCGGACATTGTTTGCAGAGGAAGAAGAATCGCAACATTGGGGCCGCAAGCCCAAGATCTGGTGGCAGCAAGAAGATGCTGGTTGGGATGAGTTCGACGAAGCGCCATGGGATTGGGAGCACGATCCAGGTCCCTCATCATGGGAAGATGGTGAGGAAGAAGCATACTGGAACTGGACCTCAGACTGGCAGGATGACGCTGGCGAGTGGGAGTGGGCCGTTGAAGATGAGTCCATTCCTCATGAAGAGGGTCAGGATCCAGCAGAGCAGCAACTACGTGAGGCTTACGCCCTTGCAGGTGAGGCCAATCGAACCTTGGCTGAAGCACGAGATGCCGTTCGTCGAGTGCGTCAAGCACGTGGCTATTTCGCGCCAGAGTCGGCGACAGGCAAGGGCTCAGCAACAAAGGGCATTGGTAAGGGCAAGGGCAAAAGCAAGTCGTTTGGCGGCAAGAGCAATTCAGGTGGCAAGGGCAGGAGCTTTGGTCCGTGCTTCGTATGCGGAATGCAAGGTCACAGCTACAAGGACTGCCCTGACAGGTTTTCCAAAGGAGGTGGCAAATCGTTCGCCCGCAGCTCATTTGGTCGTTCACCCGGGAAAGGTTCTGGGAAGGCCGTGCAGTTTCATTCATTGTCCGTGACCCCTGGCATTTTCATGTCGGACGTGACCGAAGGCACACGAGTCATAGTGGACACAGGTGCATCGGAAAATGCTGTAGGTGCTGATTCACTCCAGCAGCTGCTCGAACAGTCTGGTTTGATTTACACTGTTGATGTTCATGATAGACCAGTGTTCAAGTTTGGGAACGGACACCAGGCACAGGCATTGAGCCGAGCGGACATCCAAGGGACTTCGATTGGTGCAGTGAGCTTTTACGTTTTGGGCCATGATGCAACTCAGACTCCACCACTGCTCGGAGGCAAGACCTTGCGGCAGCTTGGGGCCATGCTGGCCTACGACAACGACCTCTTCATCTATCGAGGTCAGGATCCTCAGAAGACCTCGTGGTATGCAGTGAAGATGGGAGCTCACCACACACACACACACACCATGTTTCTTTGGATTTGGTTGAAACAGCCACTGTCATGGAGAACCCCCACATGTGGTTTGCAACAATGTCACCTACTCCGGCAGTTGATGAGCAGTTGAATGAACCCGACAAGGGCATCTACATGTTCACAGCATCTTGCACTTCACCTTCCATGCCCACTAGCGATCTGGCTCAAAGGTTGAGAGATCTTCAACTCCGGCTTCGT